TAAATATTTACTTAAAATGTTGAAGTTAATATTTTTTTTATCTATAAGTAGCTTTTACAATTATAAGATTTTTTGTTACTTTTAAATAAAATAAAGTGATTTTTTTTACTTATAAGTAAGTTTTTACATTTTAGAAATAAAGAATAACTTTTATATAAAAAATTATTTAAAAAAATATTATTACTATGAAATTATAGGATAGGGTCGATAGTTGATAGCGTGAAAAAATGGAGAAAAAATAATGTGTGTCAGATTCAAAGTATGTAAGTTGCAAATAAAATAGAAAACGACATCATTTCTGGAGAGCAATTAAAATAAAATAAAAAACTACAGTGTGACAAAATATTATTTAAAAATATATTACTACTAATAAAATAAGGAGGATATAATCAAGACAAAGTCATTTTGACCAATAATGTTTTTTGCGCATATATATATATATATATAATCAAGACAAAGTCATTTTGACCAATAATGTTTTTTGCGCATATATATATATATATATAATCAAGACAAAGTCATTTTGACCAATAATGTTTTTTGCGCATATATATATATATATATAATCAAGACAAAGTCATTTTGACCAATAATGTTTTTTGCGCATATATATATATATATATAATCAAGACAAAGTCATTTTGACCAATAATGTTTTTTGCGCATATATATATATATATATAATCAAGACAAAGTCATTTTGACCAATAATGTTTTTTGCGCATATATATATATATATATAATCAAGACAAAGTCATTTTGACCAATAATGTTTTTTGCGCATTTAAGTGACAATATTCATAACTTACATCGAGGATTGCTCTTTTGAGCAAATTAATTTGATCTCTTGAAACATTCTTCACCTAAAAGCGGTTCAGATTTAGGATTAATTAAGTACCCATAAAAATTAATTAACAAAAATTGCCTAGTAAATGTGGAGTTACGTTAGGTTTAATTAAGGCCATACGACCGTTAGTATTAACGGCTGTAATAACTTGGACCTCCTGATTGAATATCATTTGGATTAATTATTCCCAAATTTACCTTGTTACGCTCCGATCTTACACGCCTTGAACTCGCAGCACCACATATTCCGACTTGAAAATGCCCCTTTCGAAGTGTATTCGAAGTGATATAGCGATTCTTACTACTGATCTGCCGAAGCATCTTGCCTCCGAAGTTGATGGATCAAGTGGACCCCAGTTAGAAGATCCGCTGCCAATTTGAGATTTGTCATGCACCTAAGGTTTAAATTGATTTGACGTCTACATGAAGTTAGTTGATGTGACTTATCAACTTTATGTCAATTCAACTCAGAAGAAACAAACTGTCCGCCCACTCTACAAATGCGGCTGATTGACGCCTATGAGCGGACGCTTCATACCGTCAGATGTATACACGCGTTCCACATCCAACGGTTTATACCACCTATAAATATCCAAGGTTTGGCAAGAGGCAGAGGTAATGAAACTCTTACTACATAGCACTCCATAGCAAGTTTATATATTTTCTCCTCCCCCTTTATCATTGATTTGCATAGCCCTTGGGTACTATTCCGATCACTTAAACCTGACTTGACCGTCGGAGTGTATACGGCCGCCGCCACCCCCGTTGGTTCCGGCCGTGTGCGCCTGACTATTCGCTGATTGTGCGCAGGGAGGAACATGTGGAGTAGATTTCAGTTGGCCATGTGGAAGGACCAATTTCCGGGGTCAACAGATTGGCGCCGTCTGTGGGAAACACTCCCCATTCGAGGTTTTGCGTTCTCCATCGGAGAAGTTACCGGAAAACTAGCGACTAACCCTGAAAAGGGAGCATTCTTGAAAAAGAACAAAGTCGAGTTACAATCCAAGCTCTCACTACCCTTGAAAAAAGAGGTAGGATGAGCTACAGCCATAAAGACGACAATCCCATGAGAGAGGCCTCTGAAGAAGTGGTACTCCATAATAATGTTACTCATCAGAGACCGCATCACCGGCGTCGCCGAGGCGAAAGAACAGCCATACTCACTGAAGGAATGGCTCAGATAGTTGCGGGTATGAGAGACATAGCAGCTCAGAATATGGCGATGCAGGAACTCCTCATGCAAGCCCAGGGTCACCAGGGCTATCAAAGGCCCCAAGGATCTTATCCGGTGCGGGAAGCCCCTTTATCTCACTCCCGAGGCCACATGAGCCGGTACACAGAACGCCCCCTTAAAAGGGAGATGAACTCCGAAACAACATCTTATGTGCAAGGGAGTCAGCCATCAGAACCGCGCTTGGGGGACAATTTCCCTCAAGAAGACGAGGACTAAAGGTCAGTAAGCGTCTTCGACCGGATAGGGGAGGATCCTAGTAGTAGGGTCCGCCCAGCAAGAGGATCAGTTCGTCCGGATCACGAACAAGAACATGCTCCCCCTCCTCCTCCTAGAAATATGAGAGAGAGGAGGAACCTAGTCGATTGGGGAGGTCGAGGAGAAGCACCTCCACCTCCCCAGGACATCCAAGATGATGAAGGGTCAGATGGGCCCTGTCGATCTTATGAGATTGACGATGATGATGATAACCTCCATTTCTCAAGGGAGATCCGAAACTTCCTAATGCCAGCGAATTTCATGCCCCCTTAGATCCCCAAGTATGAGGGAAAGGGGGATCTGGAGAAGCATCTCACCAAGTATATGACACAAATGAGCCTTAGGGGAGCCTCGCCTGCTCTAAAATGCAGAGCCTTTCATTTGACACTAGGCGGAGCCGCCCAGGTATGGTACAGCAGGCTTCCTCCCCTAAGCATCAGAAGTTGGCCAGATTTGAAGAAAGCATTTTTGAACCAATACCTCTCACGCAGGGAAGGAGAGACACCAGTTCAACGCCTGCAAGACATAAGGCAAGCCCCAGGGGAGACGCTGAAAAGCTATCTCGTCAGGTTTATAGACGAAATTACTTACTGCGAACAGGTCACTGACAGGGAAGCCCTTTCAGCCCTGAAATGTGGGCTCAACATGAACACTTTGTTCTGGAGGGACGTGCGCAGGAAGAATCCCTCCACATACGACGAGCTGGTGGAAATAATGAGAGTGGAAATTGTTAGTGAAGAAATGATTGATCATCGCAACCGTGCCTCGCAAGGACTCTCTCCTCCTCAGAGGCAAGTAGGTCGAGGACTCGCATCACACCTTATTACTCAGCAATGGACCTAAGCAGGACATACCATAGCTCTCACATTCGGACAGGCCCTAGCTTCCGCCACATTGAATGCAGTGTCGGTGCTGGCATATGATAATGCCCCTGCTGAAGCGGGACCATCTGGAAGAACTGATAACAATAAGAAGAAGAAAAAGAGGTCAAACAGACCCTTGGCAGGAGCAAGGTTTTGTACATTCCATCAACTATATGAACATGACACTAGTGAGTGTCGCGATGCCAATCGACGCCCTGATCAAAGCAACCCGTACACTTCCAGCAGAAACGAACACCCTCGCAGATCCACCTCCCCGAGAACGGGAGAGAGAGTTCACCAAGAACAATCTCCTCGGAGAAGAGAATCGAGGAACCGAGGTCAGTCCAGACAGGAAAACCAAGCCCAATTTTCTAGAGGCCAGGTCATCAGGGAAATCGATACTATCATTGGGGAACCCCACGTCGGTGGCAACACCAAAAATGCCCAGAGAAATTACACAAGAGAAGCAAAGGATCCCCCAATAATCACTTACATTGTTAACGAATCGAAATCAGCAAACAAGATAGCCCCAATTACCTTCTCCCAGGAAGACTCAGAGAGAGTTCACCACCCCCATTGTGATGCTTTGGTTGTAAGAGCCGTAGTAACTAGAAACGGATTAAAACGCATGCTCGTTGACAATGGCAGTTTCGTGAACATATTGTTCGGCTCCACTTTTGACAAAATGCAAATTAAACATGGGGTTGATCCCCATGACCGACCCACTATTCGGATTCACTGGGAACAGCATCATCCCACGAGGGCGGATCACCCTGCCTGTCGAAATGGGTTCGGCACCCCTAGTGGCCCAGCACTTCATGGAATTTCTGGTGGTAGATCACAGATCGGCTTATCATGGAATATTGGGCAGACCCGCTCTGAAAGATCTTTGGGCTGTGACGTCCATTCAATAGTTGTGCATGAAATTTCCAACAGAACATGGGATTGCTATGGTCCGAGGCGATCAGATGGGCTCCAGGGCATGCTACCTAAACTCGCTGGGAAAAATCGAGCCCCGAACTATTAATGTAATCCTAGCTGAGGTACCCGCTGAAGGTAGTACGGACGTGAAAATGCTCGACGCCCCTGAACAAGGGCATACCTCTGAACAAGAGGGAGACATCGACATGGAAGAGGCCCCTGAACAAGGACACCCTCTTGATGAGTTAGACCCCCGAATAATTGACTCTGAACCAAATACGACCCCAATGGAAGAATTGGAGACTTTCCCCGTTAACCCGAAAGACCCCAGTCAGGTCTTGCGTATAGGAAAGTCATTATCACCTGAAGCAAAAGCTGAGATGATATGCTTCCTGAAAGGGAACCTGGATATCTTCGCATGGAAACATGAAGATATGGTGAGAATAGATCCTAGGATTAGTTGCCATCACCTTAACATCAACCCCTCATATGCCCCCCATAGACAGAAGAGGCGTGCTTTAAACCCGGAACGGTACGAGGCACTGAAGGACGAAGTAAGCAAACTTAGCCGCAGTGGTTTCATAAGAGAGGTCATCTATCCGAGGTGGATATCCAACCCGGTTCTGTAAAAAAGCCCAGCGAAAAGTGGAGGGTATGCGTGGACTTCACAAACCTAAATAAGGCGTGCCCCAAAGACAGCTTCTCACTTCCAAGAATAGATCAACTTGTGGACTCTACTGCTGGGCATGAACTACTGAGTTTCATGGATGCATACTCAGGGTATAGCCAGATACCCATGTTCCGACCTGACGAGGAAGCTACATCATTCATTACGGACAGGGGCCTGTATTGCTACAAAGTCATGCCCTTCGAATTGAAAAATGCCGGAGCTACATACCAGAGGTTAGTCAACATGATGTTTGCCGAACTTATTGACAAAACCATGGAGGTCTACGTAGACGACATGTTGGTCAAAAGCCTTCAGGCAACCGAACACGTGAGTCACATCGACCAAACCTTTCAGATACTTAGAAAGTATAATATGAAATTGAATCCCCTCAAGTGCACCTTTGGAGTGGCATCGGGCCAGTTCTTGGGATATATTGTAAATCAGAGAGGAATTGAGGCGAATCCAGTGAAAGTAACGGCCTTACTAGAAATGAGGTCACCTCAGAAATCGAAAAAGGTCCAAAGTCTCAACGGTCGGATAGCCGCACTTAGTCGCTTTATCTCCAGAGCCACAGATAAAAGCTTGCCTTTCTTCAATGTGTTGAAGCAAGGAAAGAAATTCCAATGGACTTCGGAGTGCGAAGAAGCCTTCGAGGCTCTGAAAAAGCACCTTGGGGAAGTGTCCCTCTTGTCGAAACCTCAACCGGATGAATCTCCACTATTGTATCTAGCGGTTTTGGATGTGGCAGTCAGCGCAGTCCTAATCAGGGAAGAAAATGAGCGCCAATTGCCAGTATACTACATCAGCAAAGCACTTCTCCCAGTTGAAACGCGCTACCCAGACATGGAAAAATTGGCACTCACCCTTATCACGGCCTCAAGAAAGCTGAGACCATATTTTCAAACCCACTCAATACAAGTTCTCACCAATTTCCCTTTAAAGCAGGTAATGCAGAAAACAGACGCATCAGGGCACCTGCTAAAATGGGCAATCGAGCTCAGCGAGTTCGATCTAACGTTCCGACCTCGACACGCCTTCAAGCGCCAGGCCCTTGCTAATTTTATGGTTGAATTTACCAAAACCCCAGAAATGGAGGCGATAATGGAACCAACCAAGCCCCCTACATGGAAACTATTTGTAGATGGGTCCTCAGGAGAGGCTGGCGCAGGGGCAGGGATCGTATTGGAGAGCCCGGAAGGCCACAAGCTAAGTTGTGCAGTAAGGTTCAGCTTCAAGGCCTCAAACAACGCAGCCGAATACGAGGCCCTTCTGGCAGGTCTTAGACTCGCTAAGGAAATGCGGGTCAGGAAACTCCTAGCGAGCAGTGACTCTCAGCTCATAGCAAATCAGGTAAATGGGAATTTCGTAGCCAAAGATGGTAACATGCTTGCGTACTTGAAGTTGGTTCTAGACATAATTCCTCATTTTGAAAGGTTCGAACTGACTCAAGTCCCCTGTCTAGAAAATGTACATGCAGACGCCCTCTCAAAATTAGCCAACAGCATGGACCGGAGCTGCTAAACATCGTCCCTATTGAGCACTTATCGAAACCCTCCACCTCCGAAGGCGAAGAGGTACTGTGGATAGAAGGCACCCCATTATGGATGCAGCCCATCATCGCGTACCTGAAGGAGCAAACACTGCCTGCTTCCAGAGGCGACGCGAGGAAATTAAGGAGAAGGACTGTACACTTCGTCCTACAAGAAGATACCCTTTACAAGAGAGGCTTCGCTTCGCCTCTTCTTCGATGCATAGGCGGCGAAGAGGCCACATACATACTCAGGGAAATCCATGAAGGAATCTGTGGAAACCACTCCGAAGGAACGGCTCTGGCACATAAGGTTCTCCGTCAATGTTACTTCTGGCCGACCCTGAAAAGGTATGCTTGCCAATTTGTCCAGAAATGTGATAAGTGCCAGCGCTTCGCGAACATACAAAGACAGCCTGCTCAGAGCCTCTTTGTAGTAACCAGCCCTTGGCCATTCGCCAAGTGGGGCATTGACTTTATTGGTCCACTCCCAAAAGGGAGAGGAAATGCAACTTTCGCTATTGTCGCCATTGACTACTTTACTAAGTGGGTCGAGGCAGAACCCCTTGCCCAATTACCGAGGCTAATACTACCAAGTTCGTTTGGAAAAACATCATTTGTAGATT